TTTTTAACTTGTTACCCTTAAATCCCTTCTTATTCCCTTAACTTCTTATCATCCTCAACCCCCTCTCCATTTAAACAACAAATGTGTACCCTGGATAACTGCTACTGCTCCCTGAAGGAGGTTTTCCCCGCAAGAGTTAAAGAACCTAAAACAAGGGAGGAAGTGCTTTGACACAAGGTGGGGAAGATGGTTGGAGCATGGAGTATGGCAGATCAAACATATTTGGGATGAAGGGGAAAGGAGGTGGAAAACAGCCACAGTGTTACGGACTTCGCCAGGGCTCGATCCCTGGTCTATCTTTTGCTGTTTTGGCTGCATCCCGTTCTCGGCCTGGCACCCTTTTTCCAAACCCCTCCTTTGGTACCGTAGCATTTTGGACAACTGGCGCCATGCTGCAATTCGGGCGCCACTTTCAAATACTGCATTTTTCAGTTCTGCCCTCGGGGCCTTTGCAGAAATGCCCCTCGTACCGTACGTGTCACCGGTACTTATACTGGCTCCCCGTACGGTGCGGGGGCCAGTCTCGTACCAGTTCTCGGCTGCTGTACTCGTACTCAGTGTGACTTGCTGTTTCGGCATTCGGAATCCAAGACTTTGACTTTGTGCCTTACCACTGTGTCTGCGTCCGACCCTCAGTCCGAGTCCGTCGAGTCGAGTGAGTGAGTGTGTGTGTGTGCTCTCACTCTCTCCCTCTCTCTCCTCTCCCTCGGCTCACCCTCAGCCTCACGCTCGTTACACACAGAACGAAGGAGACAACTGAAAGGATGTCACAAACTACCTGAAAATCTGGGATTGGTACAGGGAGCCATACCACAAACATGGAAGCAGCTGCTACTGTCAGGAAAGCAATGGGGTATGGGGGACTGGGCCACATGGGAGGAGGACAACGAACCAAAGGAGGTCTTCAGAGTATGGGGTATAGAAACTTCCAGACCCGACTGGCTAATAGCGGGTAAGTATGACATAGTTTATCCTTCCAATACTACGTCCCAACTGGATTTGATGTCCAAAGCACCGTTATACATCCTTAAACAGTATTTACGGAAAGTGAGGGTGATAGAAACAGAGGTTTTCCCAATTTACAACTCAGCAGTGCCAATCGAAGAACTGGAAGTCGACCCTGTGGAATGGGCATGGAACATTCGGAGGGGTCAAACACGGGTAGCAAGGAGAATAAATATACTGCATTATACTACGAGAATAGGGTATAGGTTGAGGAATCGAAATCACTCCATGACGCAGACTCTGTTCAAGCGAGGGGAGAAGAGAGTGGGGGTCCCTAGAGGTGAACTGTCAAAAATTCCATGGGCAACTATAGGGGCAATAAGGCTAGGACGTGTCAGGAGTATGCAGTGGCTGATAGCCCACGTCGCGCTCCCTGTGAATGTTTGGCTTTATGATAGAAGAAGTCACAGGCAGAGAAGTGCGGAGGGTGAGATCTGTAGGGTATGCCGTGAGGGTATACCAGAAACAATGGTGCATTGTTTACTGGAGTGCGCAGAAGCATTGGTGATGTGGGATGATGTCAAGAGAATTTGGGGCCAAATAACAGACACTGCCTTCCCGGACTCAAAGATCACATTGCTACTAGGACTACGGGTCCCCAAACAGTGGCAACCCTTCCTGAAACATATGTTCCAGTTGTTACGCCAATATGGGCTTTGGACCATTTGGAAGCGTTGATGTCAGGCCGCAATGGAGGGAACAATAATGCATAGGCAGGAAGCTAGGGAGAGTTTCCTCGCACTTCTTGAAACACATCTCAAGGCGCAGTGGAAAACGGTGAGGAATCAGGCACGGAAACAACCAGAGCAAGAAGAAGCGATAATGAGGAAATTCAAGCGTCAGTCCGGTTCCTATTCCCCCGGCAAGTCAGCAAAGATTACATCAGATACCCACACACACTCCTCCCCATTATGGTTGAGAGGCCCGAGTGGACATTGATTACTTCCCAAAGGAAGGACGTACCACCCCTCACCCCTGCCTAAGTTAGCCTGGTAGTACCTATGACCTTGCAGCCTAGGCTGTCCTCACCTTTCTCCATCTGCTGGCTACAGCTTGCATCTGCGGTCCCCTGCTAGCTTGTCCCTCTCAGCTGTTAGGCTGTCAGATTGGCTTTAGGTACTGGAGCTGCTAGCCCGATTTCTTGCTACCCTTCCTAATAAACTCTATCACTTTAGCGGTTGTGGTTTTCTATTTCCTAAGAGAGTGAGTTTTGTGTCATCCTTAAACCCGCAACCCTAGTTCTTCCCCCGCTCACCCCTTGAACCCTATAGCCTTCTTTTCTCCCAGCGGATTGTAGTTTCTGATATCCTTCCTAAGAACTGACCTTTGGATTATCCTGTCTAGGTTGGCCTCTTGTTTTAGTTGAGAGGTCGCTGTTACCCCGTTCTGACCTGCTTTAATGTTGTCATCCTTAAGCCTTCATCCTTTCTGCCTAAACCCTGAACCCTTGAGTCTCTTCACTAGGTAGAACTTAATTGTTTTCTATAGATCTTAAACCACTAGTACCAGTGTTGGGAAATTAGGGGAAAAGGCCCATTCCCAAAGAATTGGGAGTGGGACCCAGGCTCAGCAAGTCCCATAAAGTTTCGTTTTATAATGCCCGTGCATGAAAGAAGAAAAGGAAACGAGAAGATACTTTCTCTACTGCAATGATGTCGTGCAGGGTAGTCTAGGAGGCCGTGTTCACAGTAGTCCTCCACAGAATGAATCGTACAGCTAAAACAGTTAGATTCTGAATGTTGTTGTTTTGTTTTTTTTCTTTCTCGTCTCATTCTTATGAGTCCCCCGAATCCATGACCTGCTCAAGCTGTGTTTCCTCAGAGGATTGTTACCCTGATCACACTGGCACTTAGAGGAACGTATCGAGCCAGTTTCACGGCCGAATCTGTGTTTCCTTTTTTTTTTTTTCTCTTCCCGGAATCTGACAACCTGACCACAGGGCTGAGACACCCTCACTGAGGGCACACTCACGCTATCACATTCAAGAATGTATACAACATCATTTCACGTTCAAAGCTTTGCTTCGTTTTTTACTTCTATTGTTTTTTTTTTGTTTTTTTTTTTTTTTAATTTTACAAAGCCTCATGGCTCTGGCTCCTACCATTCTGGGGAGCAACAGTCCGGTTCCTTTCCCCCGGCAAGTCAATACGGAATACATAAGAGACACACGCACGCT